GTGGCCAGATGTCCAGGCTCATTCTGCAAGCGTTCTGCCTCACCGGTGTTCATGCCTTCTCTGCCTCAGCCTCGCCGAGTAGGCCTGGGACTACAGGCGCCCGCCAACCTCGCCCCGGCTACGCTTTTTGTATTTTTTAGTAGAGAACGTGGTTTCACCGTGTTAGCGGATGGTCTTGATGTTCCTGACCCGTGATCGCCCCGTCTCGCCTCCCAAAGTGGCTGGGATTGACAGCTTGAGGCACCGCAGCCGGCCTCAACAGAGGGTTAAGCAGAAGGGAACAGGGACCACTCATGTCATGACCAATAGCAGTGAGCGTTTTTGACGCCAGGCCATGGAGAAGCAGTAATTGACGCCTTAGTTTCCCAATTTGACACCTGTGTGGTCCATCCAGTAACTGGTACTGGGGAGACGAGGCAGACATGGCCGCTGTCCTCCCAGTTCCAGCCTCCACCCCAAGGAAACTAACAGTACACAAGAGACTTGCATAAACACTGGTAGAGAGTGGCAGCGTGGCCCAGAGGCAATGCAAAACAAAGATTTGCACTGGCAGCCTGGTGTTGTAGGTCAGAAGTCAGCCCTTCTGCTTCCCTTGATGATGCAAAAGCGAACGTGTCGGGCTGCTTTATGTAACGCTGCCTCCCTGACCTGTTTCACAGCAGACTGTGGAGGTGGGTGTGTGTCCCACCAAACGCCCCTGCTCCCGCCTACCGACATTAAGAGAGAAGAAATGGGTGCAGCTCTGAACCTTGCCACAGGAGAGACATCCGATTAGCAAAATAGTGTGACCATGTTATTAGATCCAGGACTGTCCCTCCTGGAGCCTGATCCCGTGGTATCTCTGTGCCGAACAACTAGGCTGTTTGTTAATCTCCCCATGCCTGATTCCCCATCTGCCAAAAAGGACGAGATTAGACTTGAACAATCCTAGCAACTAATTATGTATTTATTGTATTTATTAACTCTGGAGTTCGAATCTTTAATGTAATGTTTCCCGGCCACTGCACTCCAGCCTGGGTGACAGAGCGAGACTCCGTCTCAAAAAAAAAAAAAAAAAAAAAAAAAAAAGCCCTCTGTTGAAAGTGGCAACTCCCTGTATGAACTCTTTGTCCTTACCACTCTCTTTCTCTGTATCTCCAACTCTTTCTCATTCCCGTGGTGATTTTGATCATCCCCTGGCACTGGGGGGTTGCCCTAGAGCCTGTGTGCCATCTTAGATAGGGAAAGGGGACAGCCCTCCCACCACCTTGGTCTGGGCCACCATCACTGCGTGTGTGGACTTCTGCAGTTGGTCTCCCTGCTTCAACACTAGCCCCGCTCCATGGTGGCCCGGGGAATTCCGGCAGGGAACTCTTCAGTGGATCCCAGTGTGTCTGGGAATGAAGTTCAGACGCCTTCCAATGCCCCACGTGATCTGGACTTGCCTGCCTCATCCCCTCACTTAGCTTTACTGCGTTCCCACAGGCAGTTTCTCAAAGCTCAGCCCCTTCCTGCCTCCAGGCTTTCCACACTGCTGTTCCCTCTGCCCAGAATGTTCTTCCCATTCCCCGCCAGTTGTCCAGCCCCATCATTCCTCAGGCCTCAGCTTCAAGGTCTGGTCAGCATGCTGTGTGCGCTCACAAGCTTCTAGCTTTTTTCTCTTACACAGTGCTTCCCATAGCTGGAATCATCCATGCTTAATGCCACCACTGTTTGCTGTCTTTCCCTCTAAATGGGAAGCCCCCTGAGGACCAGTACCTCATTTGTGGTGTTCACTGTGGTGCCCCCAATGCCTGGCTTCTAGTGGGTGCTGGACAGATGTCTCTAGAACAATGGAATGCATTGGTCTGAGGACAGCGCAGTTAACTCCCAGCCCTGAGTGGGGAGCAGGGCCAGAATGTGGGGCTGGATGGCATCCCAGTTCCTCCTGCGTTCAGGCCTCACTGGGTGGTTCCATTATGTATTTCACTGGGCTGTGACCTGCCCAAACACCCAGCCCCCACACCCGTCCATTTTCCCACCCAGAGCCTGGGAGGAACGGTTTTTGGATTATTTCACATTTCTGGATTATCCATGAGACATCTCCCCTCCAGTGAGAAGGATCAACAGTTTGACATTTTAAACCCTAAGCAGCTTCTCCCTGGCCTGCTTCAGATCTGAGGTTCTGCTGCTTGCAATGAGATGCATGGGGAATGGAAGGCCGTTTTAATCTTGGCCTGGCTTCATTAGGAAGGAAAAGATACTGCCAAAAAAAAAAAAAAAAAAAAGGTTTGCTTCACTGTCTCTGCCATACAGAGCTGTGAGAGCCTAAGGGATTATCAAAGTAAATTTCCTTGAAAAGATAGGGAAACTGAGGCACAGAGAGGGACAAAAGCTTGGTCAAGGGCATGTGGCAAGTTGGTGGCCAATCTGGGAATGATCCTCCCGGAGGCCTTCTGACTCCCGCATGCTGCCCTTTGTTACCTTCAGGCACCGGGGGAGCTGGGGTCTGGCAGAGAGCGGGCAACAAGTTTCCACTGACATGACTTCAGGACCCTGAGTCACCCTGGCCTTGAATGGCCTCCCAGAGCACGGATGGGACTTTCCAGGAGCCCAGCTACTCCTCCAGGAAGAGAAACTCCCAGGAAGCTTCAGTGGCAGCAAAGGTGAAGGGTGAGGGGCGCAGGCATGCCCCCAGCCTGCCCTGCCACCCACTACCACATCTGGGACAATTTTGTGACAGATCTATTGTCCAAAAGCGGGGCCAGTGGCGGCTGTATTTCTGGAGCAGGCTGTTCTTCAAGAAGATGGCTCCTTCCACCTTGTTCTCTTTGATCATTTTGGGGGCATTTTTCTGTCTTTTATTTTCCTTTTTTAAAACACCCAATCTTGAGAATACTAAAACTGACTCCAACTAATGAGGTCACAGTACCTGATAAAAACAGTATCGAAACATTTAACACTCTTTAACTGTACTCTCAGAAAAGCCTTTGGCTTCAGGAAAGGGACTGGCTTTTCTAGGGTCAAAATACCTTGCCTAAAGATAGACTCACTGGTTGCAGGTTTGCAGGGACAGTGGGATCCCAGCACCTCTTCTCCACTTCTGGGTCCCTACCCCATATGCTCCTGGCCACACCTAGCCTATCTCAGGCCAAGTTGGAAAATAGCCTTTGGGGGTACCTTGAGAGGCCAAGGGAAGACACTTTGGGCCATCCTGTGAAGCCCTCGCAGAGTGTGAGACCATGCCATACTGGCCACTCTTGGCCTGGCCCTCACCAGGCTGCCTCCTAGAATCGATGAAGTTCCCAGGGAAATGGGGGTGCCAGCAGGGCTGGTGCTCTGGATAGGCCCTGGGTAGACGACCATCCAACCTGCTCCTCCCTTCACCTGTCTCACACAGGGCAATGTAAATGCCCGCCCTTATCAGCGTATTTCCTGGGAAATACTTACTTCCTATCCAAGACATAGCACGAACAAAGAATTGAAAGCTTGATGAACCAAACTACGGGGACCCATCCAGTGTATAGTCCTCTGGCCATTTCAATTAACAAGACCCCCTGAAAGTCCAAGCCCTCTGCCGAGTTCCCAGCCCAAGTACCCCATCTCCTTCTGAGGCTGTCCGCAACAGCGAATCCTCAGACCCTATGCCCTGCTGTCGGTCCCCAGCCTTGCCCTTAAATCCTGCATCTGCTTCCTGCACTCCATACTTCTGTCCTTGACTAAGCTCTGATGTCCTCTCCCCACCCCCAGGCTTCTGCCCACTGCGCCCGCATCCCCAGACTCACCCAGGAACAAAACCTCGCGGTCCAGTCGGCACTTCAGTTGGCACTACAGGGACGTGACGGTGAATGTGTCCTCAGGGTGAGGTTCCGCCATGGGCCCCAGGAAGCCGCTCTTGGGGCCCCCTCCCAGGCCAGGATGCGCCTGGGGCATAAAGCCTGGGTACCTGTAGGCGGTGTCCTGCAGGGGCAGCAGCGAGTCCCTCGGCACGGGGGACAGGGTCAAGTCACTAAGGAGTGGGCAGCCATAGCCAGCAGCGGCTGCAGCAGGGCCACGGGGTGGGCCAGGGGGCCGGGCCATTTCCAGTGGCTCCTTGTCGGCCTTGGGCGTGGCTGGTGGGCTAGCCAGGTGAGGGGCACTGAGGCACGCGGCCTCCGTCCTGCCCAGGAAGTCAGCCAGCAGCCCTGTACCCACCTTGCCTTCATAGGGCGGGCTGCGGGCAGCCGAGCCTGGAGGGTACCAATATGCTGTGCCCTTGCAGCTGGGGGAATCGTAGTGGGCCTGGCCCAATGGCAGGTCCCGGCAGCTCAGGTGGGCCTGGGCTGCAGCTGCGTGGCCCAGGCTGGCCCCCTGGAGCCCATGCTTGAGGGGCTCGCAGGCAGCCAGCTTGGTGGGCGGTGGCCGCAGCTCTTCCTTGAAGCCCAGTGTAGGCGAGCAGGTGGGCGAGTATGCCTTCTGCAGGCCGGCGTCGAACACCGTGGGCGGGTGGGCCAGCGGTGGGAAATGCTTGCCATCAAGCTCGGGAGCACCTAGGCTGGGCGAGTCGCAGTGGAAGCCTTGGCCGAAGGTGCCATCGGAAGGCGTGGACGGGTTCATGGAGTAGGGTCCTATGAAGTCACAGGGGTCTCGCTCTCCCACGCCGAAGGCCCTCGACTGTGAGGGCAGTGGTGACATGCTGCTGTCCCCGCTATAGTAGTCCAGGCCTAGGTCAGGACTGTCCTGGAACAGTGGGTTGACCGGCTGTGGCTTGGGGATGAACTTGGCTTTGGCCGCTGCGCCACCCCGTTCCTTCTTGGCTGAGCAGGCCCCACCGCCCCGTCCACCTCGCGGCTGCCGGGGCCCAGTGCTCCGTTTGGATGGGTAGCCTGAGGCAGCGGCAGAGGCGGATGTTGGGAAGCCCAGATGTGAAGCCTCGAACAGGTCCACCTTCTTCCGCCGTCCACGGCCCGGCTTGGAGCTACTCTGAAAGAGGACACTCTGGTTCCAGTTGTAGCCGGGGGCAGATGATGCCTCGTTCCAGTCCATCATCAGTTTCTCCAGGCTGGACAGGCTCGACTGGCCCTCACTACTTGAGGCCTCGCTGTTGGCACGCCGAAACCCGCCGCCACCGACCGGCTGATTGAACTGGGTGCTGTCGGAGGATGACTCGGAGAAGGTCTCCGACACAGCCGTCTGCTGCTTCACCTTCTGTGGTGTGTAGTTGGAGATGTCCAGGATCACGTTGGGTTCGCTGACGTGGCAGTCAAAACTGGGATTGTAGAGCTGACTAAAGGCCTCTGAGGCCCAGTCCAGGCCTCCATAGCCCTGCCGGAAAGGCCACTGAGAAGCCCCCGCAAACTGGCGACAGTTCTCGGGCGAGGGCTGGAAGGAGGAAGAGGAGGAGGAGGCGGCAGAGGCTGCAGAGGTGGCAGAGGCTGTGGTGCCCTTGGGCACCATGTAGCCACCAGGCGAGACTGTGCTGGCCCGGCTGTCACAGCGCAGGGGCGTGGGGGCTGAACCAGAGAAGGGGGCCCCCTCAGAGCTGTTGAAGAAAGAGGCCTTGCTTGGTGGCAGGCAGGGGCCCCCGGTAGGCGGTGGGGCATAGCCGGCGCTGTGGGCGCTGCTGGGTGAGGCAGGGAGGCTGTTGCCGCTGCCATAGGCAAAGCTGCAGTCCTTGCTGTTAGCGCAGTCCTGGCCTGTAAAGGGCTTAGCCGGGGCAAATACGCTTTGTCCAGCCCCGTAGCCGCCATACTGGGGCAGGTAGGTGTTGGCAGGCGGGTGGGTGGTAGGTGAGCGGGCCACGGCTGAGGGCGGGGGAGCCAGCTTGGGGAAGGTCTCGGCTGCCCGGCAGTCTGAAGTGGCCGGAGTTAGCCCATAGCTCGCTGCCCGTCCTGGTGGGAAGGTCTGGCGTGTGGGCAGGACAGGCTGGAAGGAGGTGTCCGCCCCAGCCCCACCACTACCCACTGCCACTGGGCTGGCCTTGGCTCCCCGGCTAGGGAAGGTGGCAAGGCCCCGCTGGGCAGGTAGGGCGCTGGTGGGTGGCCCTGCATAGGTGCCTGATGCCTTCCGGGACTCTGGGCGAGAGGCTGAGAGGGCAAAGTCCAAGAGATCGGAGGAGTCATCCGAATCGAGCAGCGAGCGAAAGTAGCCGGTGAAGAGGTTTTGGCGCTCCTGGCTGAGCTCGGTCTGGCCTGAGGGTGCGCCCGTGCTGTAGTAGCTGCCACGGCCTGAGGCTCCGCTCTCCAGCCCAGTGGAGGCAAAGGCCCGGGCCTCGGTCCCCTGAAACCCACAGTTTCGGCCAGCTTGCCCGCCTGGGTGCCCATGGTGAGGGGCCCAGCCACCACCCTTATCTCCGGCCCACTCGGCACCCGCCTCCCCAAAGCCTGGGCCACTGGGCACCTGCTCTGGGAACAGAGTCCCATTCTTCCGGGACCGTCTCTTGCGCTTTGGCTTCCCAGTCACAGCGTCTACCTCCCCCCGGCCCCGTTTGCGTGGGTGCCCCAACTCGGTAAGGCCAGGACCCCCCACCCCAGCGGCTGCCACGGCCACCACCTTCTTTTTCTTGCCAATGCCCTCAAAGAAGTCACTGAAGGAGCATCGGGCTGACTTGGCCGCATGGCCCCCACCCCGGCCACCAAAACCACCTGCTTTGCCCCCACGCCGCCGGAAGCCCTGCACACGATGCAGGAAGTGGGAGATGCTCTGGGTGTCAGGGGCCTGGTGCACTGACTCCGGCTCACTGGGTGTCCAGCAGCGGGGTGGCGAGCACCGTCCAGCGCACTGGCTCTGGCGGTTCAGAAAGGCCAGCTTGGCCAGGACGTCTGAGTACTCAGCCTTGCTGTCGTTGGCGTCTGCCGCATAGGACGGTTGGGGAGACGCCAGCTTCTGCTTCCGCCGCCGTCGTTTCTTCACCTCTGGCATGGCCATGGTGGCTGCTGCCACAGTGGCTGCCTCGGCCGCCACCACAGCTGGCTCCTTGGGCTTGCCAGGGCCCAGCAGCAGGTTCTTAGGAGGGCGGCCGCGCTTACGCTTAAGAATAATGGGCATCTCACCGGGTGGGAAGACCACTACCACGTTCCGCCCGTTGTTCTTCATCTTCAGCAGCGGGGTGGGCTCAGCTGACACACGCAGACCTAGCTCCTTGCCCTCCACACTCAGGCTGCTGCTCAAGGAAGACACTTTGTATGTGGTCTTGTTCCGTCGCCCGAGCGATACGGGGATCTTGGCCATCTTCACCACCATGCGCCGCACGCCTCGGCACTTGCCTTTGCGGGTAGAGACCACTGGGGTCTGGGAAGATTCTGGCTTCAATTCTGGGACTGAGACCAGGCCTGGGCCTGGCAGGGCAGGGGGTGGAGGCGGCGGTGGCGGTGGGGGTTCGGCCAGGGCGGCTGCCAGCCCCGTGGGCATAGGCAGGGGCAGTAGGCGGCCCTCGGGTCCGGCGTCCGCCTTGCGCCCCCGTCCGGCTTTCCGCCGGCGACACAGGATCTTTGGCCTATCAGTACGCCGCAAGGCGTACTTGGGGTGACCCTCAGGCCCGGGGGGGCCGTGCGGTGAGCACAAGTCCAGGCGCAAGGGCTCGGCCAGTGGGCAGTGCCCCAGGGGCTGCTGGGGCTCCAGACGGCGACCTGGGACGTCAAGCAGCTTGGGCAGGGGGTCGAGTGCCTGGGGGTCAAGCAGCTGCGACTCCAAGGAGTCAGGCAGGGTGTCCAGGGCCTGGAGAGCCAGGCCCGGCAGCCCCAGAGGATCAGCAAGAGGTTGCAGGGGTGGCAGCTCCAGAGCTTCCCCGAGCGGCTCTAGTGCCTGCGGGTCCAGGAAACGGGGCTGGGGGTCCAGGAGCTGAGGCTCTGGCTCAGGAGATGGTGGCTCGAGGGCCTGGGCCTCTAGCAGCTGGGCCTCTGGGCAAGTGAGGGAGGCCAGCTCACTAAGGATGTCGGCGTCAGCAAGTTCTGAGTAATCAGTGCTGTCTGGCTCAGGCTCTGGGGGCAGACCCGTGGCCACAGCCGTGGCTCCGGGACTATGGCCTTGGCCAGGCTGGGGACTATCCCTAGGCTCAGGCTCAGGCTCGTAGAGGGGGTGGCTGGGCCGCTCTGACTTGGCGTGTGGGGTGGCTCGCTCCTCAGGGCTACGGATGCTGTTGGCCAAACTGGGTGAGGAGAAGAAGCTGTACTGTAGGTCGCCGGGTGGTGGTGCAGGCGGGCGGCTCAGTCGGAGCCCACCACAGTCCAGGTGTACACCACTGTGCTGCAGGTCCTGGGAGAGGCGTGTCAGGTCCTTCATGATGTCAATCAGCTGCACCACTGGTCGCAGGTTCACCCGCCCGTTGTCCCAGCAGCGTCGGGAGCTGCTGCCGTCTCCGGCCGGTGTGGGGCAGCGGGCCTGTGAGACAGGACGGGCTGCCCGTGGGGGCAGCGGGTCGTCCCCCTTGGCAAGGACTGGTGGGCGCCGGGTGCTGGGGTCCCGGCGTGGGGGTGGGCGTGGGTTCTCGGAGAAGGCGTGGGTGGAGAAGGCCTTGTCGGGTGGGCTGGCAGGGGGCCGGGTGGGAAGCAGGGGCCGGGGGGTGGGGGGGCCGCCGGGGTAGTACTTGGGCTCCCGGAGGTAGTCAGGAGAGCTGCACACGGCACTGGAAGTCACCACCAGGCCCTGGGGCTTCACACGCATCCTGACCTTGTCCTCCGCAGGCCGCCGGGCGGGGCCGGGGCTGACATGAGGGTGCGAGAAGCCGGGACCAGGACCTGCCAGGCAGGAAGAGCAGGAGGTCCCTTACTGAACACCTACATCCTCATCAGCTTCCCATATCCTCGATGAGCTCCTGGACCCCTCCCTCCTGAGGTCTCATCTCCTTACCAAGCTCCCATCCCCACCCCAAGCCCAATCCCCTTGCTGACTCCCAGCCTTTCTCAAACCACCATATGTACAGCAAGCCCCTCATGGGCCCCAGTTTCACTTTTTTTTTTTTTTTTTTTAAAGAGAGTCTCACTCTGTCACCCAGGCTGGAGTGAAGTAGTGTGATCTCAGCTCACTGCAACCTCTGCCTCCTAGTGCAAGCGATTCTTAGGTGTCAGCCTCCCAAGTACCTGGGATTACAGGCACGCGCCACCACGTCTGGCTAATTTTTGTATTTTAGTAGAGTCAGGGTTTCACCATGTTGGCCAGGCTGGTCTTGAGCTCCTGACCACAGATGATCCACCCGCCTTGGCCTCCCAAAGTACTGGGATTACAGGCGTGAGCCACCATGCCTGGCCCAGCTTCACTTATTGACAGCTCATCCCCTTTGGAAATCTGGCTATGTGCTCAGGAAGAACAGGACCCTTGCCTCTGAGAGGGAAGCACATCAGCAGGGTGATCAAACTTAAGGAGAAGGCCAGGAAGCTCTAACAAGGGCACAGCCTTCCTGCTTCTTACCCCCAAAGGGCTCCAGGAGAACCCCCACCACTTACCCTCGGCTCTGCCGCCTGGGCTGTCACACTGGAGATCTCTGTGGGCAATAAGACAGGCAATAGATTTGAATTCCCCAAATGGTCTAGTGGCCACAGCTCAACCCCTGCCCACCGGCCCGGCCTCCTCCAGGTACCACCCCCTGGCTCCCTCAGCGCTCCATCCAGCGCAGACACCCGGCTGACCTGGAAGAGAGAGGGCCCCCGTGCCTGGGGGCTCTGCCAGTCGCTGGCTGTCAGCTGGGGGTGCTGTGGAGCAACTTCGGCCTGAGCCCAGGCCTCGGGGCGTGGACAGCGCCTGGAAAGGACCATCGCAGCTCAGGTTTAGTGAGCACCTACTGCGCGCCAGGTACTGGGCTGGAAGCTGTCCAGGCATCGTTTCATTTAATTCTTCATACCAATCCTGTGAGGTAGGGGCTATTAATAACCCCATTTTGCAGATGAAGAAATGGAGGCTCAGAGATAAAGTAACATCATTCATTCATACACTCATTAGTTATGAAGTACCTACTTTGGACAAGGACTGGACAGACAGACACTGATCAGATCATTATAAATTACTTAATTACTAGTGGGATAAGAGCTGCAAAGAAAAAGTGAAGATGCCTGAGGTCAGAGCAATCACACAGGGAGTCAACAACAATAAAAGTCCATAGTTTGGGGACATTTTCTGTTGCCACACACTGGGCCAAGTGCTTCATATAGATTATCTCATCAAATTCCCCATACAAACATGAGATCAATATGATTATCTTCCCCAGTCTTACAGAAACTATCCCCTGGAAGATGGTAAACACCATAAAAGCAAAGATATCTGTCCTATTCACTGCTATATGTATTTCCCAACACTCAGAACAGCACATGGCCTACAGCAGCATTTTAAAAAATGGCTGTTTGGCCAGGTGCAGGGGCTCACACTTGTAATCCCAGCCCTTTGGGAGGCTAAGGCAGGAGGATCGCTTGAGTCCAGGAGTTCGAGACCAGCCTGGGCAACATAGCGTGACCCCATCCCTACGAAAATTTAAAAATTAGCTGGGCATGGTGGTGCACACCTGTAGTCCCAGCTACTCAAGAGGCTGAGGTGGGAGGATCGCTTGAGCCCTGGAGGTTCAGGCTGGCTGCTCTGAGCTATGATTGTGCCATTGTTCTCCAGCCTGGGCAGCAGAGTGAGATCCTTTCTCCAAAACATTAAATTTAAAGTTTGTTGAATGAATCAACAAACGAATAGGTACACAGAGCAATCAACCCTGCCTTTTCCCTTTAGGCTCTTTCTTCTTCTCCAGACCCAAGAAGGATGCTGAGGGAGGGACCCAAGAGTGTGAAAAGGGACATTCTCTGATCCTTCTTCCACCTTCATCGGAAAAACTCTGCCGCTCCATCCTACCTCTGGTCTTGTCCTGGCCCCTGCTACATCCTCTCAGAGCCCTATCTATTTCACCTTCATAGTATTTATCGCAACTATAATCAATTACTTGTGTGACTGGCTGTTTAGTGTGTCTCCTGCAACAGTGTGGGCTCTTCAGGAGCAGGGATCACGTCTGTCTTGTTTATCGCTGTATTGCCTGACCCTAGGGCCTAGGCTATGAATGCTACATAAATATTTACCGACTGACTCCCTGAGCTGGTCAGGGCAGAGCTAGGATTTAGATCCAGGCATGTCTGACTCCCGAAGGAGCCCGAGGACTCAGGGCCATGGCTGATTCCAGGAGTTGGGATCTCAGGGAGCAGGGAGCTGAATGGACCCCAATACTGTGAGGGTCTTAAAGACTGACCTTGATACCTGCCTAATGTTTGGCTCTGACCTAGTACTGGGTCACTGAGACCTATGTGCCAGAGACTCATGTAGACTCTCCCCACCTACCAGTGCTGTCACCCCACAGGAAGACTGCAGAGCTGTAGGGACAGGATAGAGTAGAAAGAGACACTTCTCTGCTCCCCTTTGGGGGATGGCGATTTGCAATCTACAAAGCACCTACCTACACATCTATGACCCACTGAATTCTCACAGCAGCCTGGGAGGCATGATTTATTATCCCCATGTTACAGGGGAAACTGGCTCAGAGTGGATGTGTAACTTGCCTGAAGTCACACAGTTGCTAAGTGGTAGGATTTCTAATTCTGCCTTAAGTCCAAAGCCTCCTTCCACTCCCAGCTCCTGTAACAATCCTTCAGCCACTTCTGAAAATGCTCCTTCTAGCGCCGTGGTCTAATTTAAGGCTGGGAGGAACCTTAAAATTATCTAACCCATTGGCTTCCAAAGCCTGGGCCTGGGGGAGCTGTGTAACATTCCAGATACCCAGGCCCTAGTCCAGGGGAATGTGACTCATAGATGTGAAGGGACATCTGGGAATCTGTATTTTTAACCAGCTACCCCAGTGGGTGCACTTTCTAGTGCCATCTCATGCCCCTCCCATTTTACAGATGAGGAAACTGAGACCTGAAGAGGGAAAGAGACTTTGTCTGAGGTCACAAAATGGCACAGGAAGGGGCCCTTTTGTTGCCCACCCAGGTGGAACATCCCTCTATTCACTCTTCCTTCTCTCTCTGCAGGTTCCAGGCCTCAGCTGCTCCTCGTTGTCCCACCTACTGGTCCCACCTACTTTGCTCTCTCTCAGGCCTGGCTGTGGACCTGGCCCCTCCTAGGTCAGGATCTCTCTAGTCCAAGAACTTGGAGCACTGTTGCCCTCGCAGGGAGGACAGTGGGTAACACCCTCACAAACGAGAAAAGGGGCTCAGACTCTGGAATCTCCAAGTCCAATTTCCAATAGTGTGGTTGCACCGTGGCTCCTGGCACCTACTTGGAGATGACCACCAGAAGCCCCCTCCCTCCCTTACTGAGGGTCAGGCTAGCTGAGCCTTCCCCGCTCTGGAGACCTCCCAGCTGGGGCCTGAGGGTGTGATCTTGGCAGAAGAGAAAAACCTCCTCTCTGGTGGTGGCTTCTGTTCCATCCACCCATGAAGACCTCTGGGCACGTCCTCCTGCCAGGCCTCCTGAGGCTGGCCACTGCTCTCTTTTGCAGCCTCCAGGATCTGAGGGAAGCAGCTGGCTCCCCTCCTCACCACACCCCGGCGGCCATTCTCTTGGATCCCTCCCAAGGGTACCACCTAGCCCTGGTCTGGGGACAAAGTCAAAGGGGTCCTTCTGTCTGCCTGTCTGCTGCTGGGTCAGTGTGTCTGAGCTCGCCCATAGGGACACCAGCCGGCTGGGAGGAGGCTGGGGGCCCCAACCTGCTGTGCACAGTGCCGGGAAGCGCCAGCCCACATCCTTGAGTCCCCAGCCCCACCCTCCCCGGCTGTGGCTGTGACCACCCCACCCCTTCCCCAGCCCTCCTTCCCCTCCCCCACCCACTGCCTCCCCAGGGGAGCCAGGCTGCCAGCCCCAGCTCTCACTTCCGGCCTCATGACCCTCTCTCCAGCTTGCACACTCCTCCTCCCCCACCATTTCCCTCCTAGCCTGGTTCGAAGGCCCTGGGATGTCCTCAAATGGGAAACACTGCATCAAAGGGGCCATTACTCCTGCTCTGAGACCTTCCCATCACCTCCTTTTTCCTCCAGCGGCCTTATCTCTTAGGATCTGCCCCTCGGGGACGAGTCCTCACCTCTCTCCACCTCCTTCCCTTCAGCCACCTACCTGCCCACACAGTAACACCTGAAGATCTTCTTTCAACCTGATCCCAGGAACAATATCATAATACAAATAACAATGATGGCAATAATAATGGCAGCTGTCACTCATTTGGCATCATTTAAATAGAGGCACAGAGAGGTTAAGTTATGCCCTTAAGGACAAACAGCCATCTCACTCAATTCAGATGGTGTCTGAATTTAGGTAGGGCTTCTCTAAATCAAACTGCTTCGGTGTCCAGAGATTCAGCCCCCTCCCATGCAGCCTCCTCCAACTGTCCCAGTCCCAATCATCAGTTCTAATTTTTGACTTCTAATCTATCCTCCTCTCAGTTTCTAGTCACCACCTCCCACCAACCACCATTCAACTAGATGCACTACTCTCCCTCGCCACTAGGTGTCCCCTTGGAGCCACTGATGCCCCCAAGGGGAGCTGGCCCTGCCCCACCCCCTGGGGCCATCAGGGGCCCCCCCACAGCACAGCACAGCACTGCACACCCCACTCCACCCTACCCCCAGCCACACAGAGCTCCTTTGTGCAACCCTCGCCCACCCCCTTCCTCCCTGGAGCGGGGCACCTGGCAAGCAGGTCTGCCCTAGAACCGCCCCCTGCCAGCCCCCTGCCCTGGGTGCCAGGTGTGCGGGCGCCACCACCACCGCCAGCTCTGGCTGGACCCGAGGGTCACCCTGCCGGCGGCCCTCCCTTCCTCCCTCCGAGGTCACCCAGGGACTAAGCTTCCCGCCCTGCTCCGCCCCCCTCCCCTCCTGCCCTTGGCCCTTGCAGACTCCCGTCCTTGTCTTTCCTTCTGTCTCCCGGAGGACTCCCCTCCTCCAGCCCCACTAGGCCCTCCCTGCAGCCTCTCACCCCCGCCCACCTCCTTCCCCAGAGAGCTCCTTGTTCCGCCCCCCCCTGCCTCCCCGCCCAGGTCTGAAGAACTCCTCCTCCTGGAAAGTTGCTGCTGGAAAGGAAGTGACTTCAGCGATTTGGCCACAAGGCTGGGCACTGCTGAGCCCAGCTCAGCTCAAGGCTTGCCCAACCCACCACCAAAGCACAAATGGAGCCACATGTGCACATCACTCCCACTGTGCATCCAGAACCCTGGGCACACACACAGCCAGTGTACACACAGATCCCTGTGTGCACACACGATACCATCGCAGTGTATTCAGATCTTGTCTATACACACATCTCTCCAGTGTACACTAGCACCCTTGCACACACACCATCCAGTGTGGCACACGCCGTATCCCCACACCTGCCCAGTACACACCCAGAATCCTGCATATTCATACTCCCATGTACCACATAACACAGCCCTTGAACACTCCCCAGCCTGGTCCACTTATACAACTCTTGTATATTACCCCATGTGCACGGAAGGACAGAGCCCGCCACACACACCTGCTTGCACACAAGCTTGAGTGCCCTGCACATTTACAGTCGGATACACACAGCCTTGCATCCTCCCACAGCTGTACCTCCCCACCCTTACAATCCCAGGAGACTCCACCCCCAGACCTCAGGCCCCAGGAATGCTCCTTTGGAAGCTGGGTGGGGTCCCCAGGCAGGCTCAGCTCTAGGGAGCTTCCTGGAGCCGGAGGCTTCATGTGTCAGTTCAGGGAGTTGCCTCTGCAGGGCAGGGCAGCTTCACCTGGCTCCGCAGCTCCTGAGCCTGGGTGGGCTAACCTGGGCCAGGAGTAGTGAGGGGGGTTCTGCCACTGCCCCCACCCCCCTCCCTGTCCTGCAAGGGCACCTTAGCATACCTGGGCTACCCAGGCCCTCCCAGCACCTCACCTTGGCCTCCCAGTTCTCTGCTTCCACAGACTCCGGTAGAGAGGTGTCCTGGGGGGTCAGCAGCTGCACACATCAGGCACTCTGGTTTCCACCTCTGCCCTGAGTCCTGGTCATTGTCACAACCCCTTTCTCCTCCCAGTTCTCTCAGGTCATCAAGGCGCAGGGAAGAGTCCTCAGGCTAGGAGGTAGGACTCACTGTATATCCATGAGCCTCAGTTCCCCTTTCTGGATAATGGGGAGTTTGAGTAAATGTTGGGTTAATATGTTTTGATTCTGTAAAGAACCTCTTTTTGACCTAAGCTGGGAGGGGATCCCTGTTGGGACTGGGAGGCAAGTTCCCCTGATCCCCACTTCCTGGGGGTGGCCCAGGCCCAAGCCTGGCTTCCCTGCACACTGTTACCTGAGCAGGCTGTGCAGACAGGCCCGGCTCAGCAGGAAAGGCCTGTCTTCATCAGCATCTCCAGGGTGGTCTCTGTAATGGCCTGAGTGTCGCCCCGCACTCGGGGCCCTCTGCACATGCTCAGCTGGGTAGGCTCTGGGGTCCAGGCTGATGGCTTGACAATCAGGCAAGCTCCCATCTGTGGAAGCAAACACAACACCACAGAGATAAGCATGGATACAGGGTAAGCCAGCCAGACAGCAGGGTGCAGAGGGACACCAAGCCGGGAGTCTCTCATACATGGAGTCCCATCCAGCTCCAATCTCACCCCATTATCCCACCAGGGAACTGTGAGACACTCTCTCTCTCTCTTTTTTCCTCATCTCGCTTTGTGGCCCAAGTAGGAGTGCAGTGGCATGATCATAGCTCACTGCCACCTTGAATTCCTGGGCTCAAGTGATCCTCCCATCTCAGCCTCCCGAGTAGCTGGGGCTACAGGTGTGCACCACCATGCCTGGCTGGTTTTTTAAAAATTTTTTGTAGGGATAGGGTCTCACCATCTTGCCCAGGCTGGTCTCGAACTCCTGGGCTCAAGCAATCCTCCAGCCTCAGCCTCCCAAAGTGCTGGGATTGCAGGTGTGAGCCACTGCGCCTGCCAAACCTGTTTCTTGAAATCCCAGGCTCCTACTGAGAAGCAGTGTTTTTGCACATCTATGTACACACATGCATATACACGCACATATACTATAGTGGAAGGAACCTGGCCTTTGGGAGTCAGACAGTCCTTGGCTCAACCTTCATAACTGTGTGACTTTGGGCAAGTCAGTTAACTTTTCTGGCTCTCAGTTTTCTCATCTATAAAATGGGAAAAGTGAGATCTTATGAATGGGGAGGAACATCCGGGGAAACTATAATGCAAAGAGCTTATTGACAATGTAGGTGTGAGAGGTGCTGTTCAGAGTGATGGTGGATGTGAATTTCCACAAGGGTGTATATGCAGCTGGCATTTACCCATCTCCATCAGTAACTGGTTATGTCTCTTGTTTTCTTTAACCACGATGGCCCGCCTCACCACCCCCCTGCTTCCTGCCCATTTGTCTGCCTCCTCAAGGTCTGTACTGGAGCCCAGAGGGGGTCTGGGAACCAGGCCTCACGGACTGCTTACAGGTTCTGGTTGCCTGGGAGTTTGTATGTGTGTGATTGAGATTCTGCCTTTGCAAATGCATATCTGTCAAGGCTCAGCTGTCTGGGTAAATATACCTGCATGTGGGTTCCTGGGTCTATTTAGCCTGTCTGTGTGCTTCTCTGTATTTCTGTATGTCTGTGTGGGTACATGAGGGCTTAAGCATGTCTGTGTGTGGGATCACGCGTTTGCTCAGTTGTGGCTGGTGTGGTCAGCTGTGTGTATGTGTGATGCCAGGTTGAGTGTGTGCCTGGATTTGGTGTCTTCAGTCATACATGTGGGTATGTGCACTTTTCATGTTTCTTCTATTCAGTTTTTGTGTGTGTGTGTGTGTCTAGCTAAGCCTGTTTGTATGCGTGTGAGGACACAGGGGTGCATGTGTGCCTGTGTGTAGCCAGGTGAGCCCAGCTATGGCTGGGTGTGAGCATGCCTCGGTGTGCACACGCTCTGCCTGGCTCTCTGCATCTCGCTGTGTCAGGAGCCAAACCGGCTCCTGCCTGTCTCAGAGCTCTCTGGATGTGTGTTTGGCAGGGGGTGGGGGCATGCGGCTGATCCTCTGCTGTCCCTGCAGGTTTCCAATCTTGAGGCCTGTGACTGCAGGCACTGGTGTCACTGTGGATCAGTGTTCCCTCCCTCCCACCTCTGCCTTTCTCTGTGTTTTCAGGGTCATGGTGTGGTAGTGTGACTGGCCACGGTGTCCCTGTGTGTCTCCTTCACCATGGGTCAGTATGTGCTTGTGTGTGTGTCCATGCATGTGTGGATTTGTGTGACCTTATTGTGTCTGTGCACCACTGCGTGTCTCTGTGTATGTCAGTGGGTCCTTGTGCTATGTCATTGTATGTTTGTGCCAGTATGGCCGTGTGTCAGCGTCAACATGTGTGAGCAGGTCTGTGTGCCATGGTGTGTCAGCACAATGGTGCCCCACTGTTTGTGTGGTACCTTTGTGAAGGGCTCAGTGTATGAGTGCGTGTGAGCATGCATGTGAGACACCCTTTGTGAGATGGTGTGTGTGTGTCTGTGTCACTGTGTTTGTGTGTGCCTGCTTCCCTCCTTCCTCCCTCTCCCTCCCTTCCTCTCTCTCTCTCTCTGTAGGAGCCAGACAACTCCCCAAGCCTGGATTAGGGACAATTTATCCACAGGCAGAGAAGGAGAATTCCAACCTGCCAGAGCCTCCCTCCTCTGATCTGTCCCCCCTTTCCCTGTGGTTGGGTGGGCACAGAAACACAGCCCGGCAGCTCCCAAGCCCTTGGGGAGCCCCCACCTTTGCAGCTCCCCAGAGGCCCAGGAGGAAGGAAAAGATGGAAATCTGGGTGGCCCCAGAGCCCTCCAGTGGGGGTAGACTGGCTGCCCCCCATCCAGGCCCCCACAGCTCAGCTCATCTTGGCCCTGTTCTCCTACATATGGTAGTGGTGGGTGGGGGGAGTCTGCATGGGGTCTGCCTGGCCCTGGGGGTTGGGGGGACTTCAGGAGCAAAGCTGCCCTCAGCCCCTCCACAACCTGATACTCCCCAGCAGATAAACGTCAGGCCCCCACCCAGTGTAAATGAACTTCCAACAGTGCCCACACAGGCTGGGGGAGCCGCTGGGAGGCAGAGGACAGTGTGGTGCAGAGAACGCAGCAAGGAGGGGTGCAGGGGCTGGGCTGGGACTAAGGCTCCCTTCACGGTGCTCCAGGCGCAAGGCAGAATCACATGTTTCCCATTAGCTGCTCTGGCCTCCTTGTTCAGGGGGTGTTGGCTGGGGGAGATTTGTTCTGGTTGCAGACACCAGCCGAGACCACACAAGAGAGAGAGAGGAAAAGACAGAAGAGAGAGAGCGTGCCAGAGGGAGAAAGGAAAAGACAGAGAGGAAGAGGGAGAAAGATACACAGGGAGACACAGAGACATGGCGAGAGAAACAGAGACAGAGAGACAGAGAAAGACAGAAACTGGGCGATGGGCAAGCAGAAACACAAAAGCAGAGACGGACTGGTGATGAGGGGCTCACAGAAGAAGGGAGATGGAGAGGAAGGTAGAGAGAGCCGGGTGAGACCTCATCGGAGGCTGAGGGGAGGGGGTAGCTCAGGCCCAGAGTGAGTCTGAGGCCAGTAAGGACCAAGGAAGAGCCCCAGAGGGAAGAGAGGCATGGGGGAAGTGAGCCAGGTAGAGATGGGAAAGGCAGGGGAGAGCAGGGACCAGGGATTTCTACAGGAGCCTGAGAAAGAGGCGGCGAGGCACAGGCAGGGTGGGCCGGGCAGAAGGGCCGAGGGGAGGCCTATGTGGGCAGCAGACAGGCCGGAGCTGGGATGTGTGGGCAGGGGGTGTAGACACGCCCGAGCTGGCCGGGCGGGGGCGGCCAGCGTGCCAAGCCTCCCGCCTCCTGACCCTCGAGCCTGGGAGAGATAACAGGCACGAATAGTGCTGACTTGCGGTTCAGAAATCCAATATCCTCCCCGGTGCACTGATCGACTACCTGAGCTCCCGGCCCGTGCAGAGCTGCCCCGATTAATCCTGCGGCTCCACAGCCTTAATTAGTTTAACAGTTTCAGGGGCAGGAGAGGCAGGAAATAGGGTCCCCAGGCCCTCAGGGACACAGCTCCCTGCTCCCCATGCAAACCCTGCCTGGTGCCCCACCTCACACACAACTGTCCTGGCCCCAAAGGCCCTTCTCCACACCATCTGAAGAATGCTGGGTCCCTCCGCCTGGGGAACAGTCCCACGGGCTGGCACATGGGTGAGAGGATAGATCATGTGGGACTGAGCGCCCCCCAACCCGCACTTGTCCCTCTGCTCAGGGCCCCAAGCGTTTCCTCTGGCCAGCCCTTTGGGGCTCTGTGGTCTGCATGGGAAGGCCCCACCAGCTGCCAGCCCCATATCACCAGGCAACATGTCGTCTCTTTAGAGTGAGACACGAGCTCCCAAGTTACTGACAACTTCCCAACAGCATGAGAGAATCACACATGCCACTCCCCACAACAGCCTGCGACGGGCACATGGTGACATCTCACACACACAACAGCCAGAGACAGGCGCACAAGTCGGTGACAACTCTCCTAACGGGATGAACTAAGCACATAACCTGTCGCTTCCCCCAAAGCATGAGATGGGCGCACCTGACACACCTTCAACAGCATGGGGCAGGCGTCTGTCACCCCGCACAATGGCATAACTGACATGCAACCAGGCACCCCCACACCCACTAATAGGATGTGAATGCACAGAGAACCTGTTACACAGCTGACCAAGGCACACACACAGGCACACACAAACATGCACACACAGAGAACCTGTCACACAGCTGACCAAGACACACACACACACACACACACACGCACACAAACATGCACACACAGAGAACCTGTCACACAGCTGACCAAGACACACACACACACACACACACACGCACACACAGAGAACCTGTCACACAGTTGACCAAGACACACACACACACACACACACACACACACACGGGACAAGTCCCACCTTCCAGGTGTAAGGAAGACATGGAGCTCTCCACCCACCATATAGCATGAGGCAGGGACACAACCTCGCCCCTGCCTGGGAATCCTCCCTGAAGACTGTGGGATGGGTACACAACATGTCACCTCCCCGGCTGCCTCGGACAGGTGACAGCCCACCTCACCCCTCCCCTATCACTGTCACCAGCCTGGGTAGTGCTGTCCCTCTGCCTGCAGAGGCGTCACAGCTCACAGGGCATGAATGTCACCCCAGCACTGCCAGAGCCGGGCACAGCCACACACTGCCCCAGTGACAAACACCACTGGTCCCAGAGAAGGTGAAGGCACACAGGGCTCTGGTGTGACCTTGGTCTCTGGACACCAGGAGGGGAGGTGCTGTGGCTTCCCGCCCAGTGGCGGGTGCTGGGGGAGAGGAGTGCTGGGGAGGAAGCTGCTGATCACACGGACTACCTGGAAATGCCACCTCCCCCAGCCCCCACTCCACTCCATTCACCTCCCCCGGCCCCCACTCCACTCCACTCCATTTCTCATTCACTGTAGTTGTGTATCTAGGAAGGGGG